CTACTCCGCCAAAAGCTCCTCTGCTCACTTCCAGGGGCGGAGCTAGGTGGAACCTCGGGGGCCCCCCTCCTAGAATTTCGAAACTACGTACAAAATCTCTTTGGATTGTGAAAAATTACGTAAAAAAAGATGTTATTGTAATATTAACTTTGTGCGCAATAATGCGACAAGAAACAAAGGGGTGGACGAGTGGTAGAAGAGTCAATCTTACAAAATGGGTGCACGGGTTCCTCCCTGTACATATCGAAATCGGTCACAACCCAAAAAATGCTCTGTTTTTCTTTTTTGTGCGTGTGATGATGATTATTATGGTACCTGCTAAACGTGACAGGATTCAGGTAGTGGACCAAAGGGATCTCCCATTGTTCAATGCCGGAAGAGTTGCAGAGCTGATGTACGACTTTAACGTCAAGGAATTTGCTGGTGGTGCTGCTGCCATTGTTGGTGTTGATCTGTTTTAAGCATATGAAGCAAATGTAGACTCCACAGACCATGGCAAATGCCAGCACCATGAGTCTTGGCAGCAATGGGGATTTCTTAGGAGTTTTGATGACTAATGAATCCTGAAATTAACAATTAATTAATACCCAGATGATGAAACTCGCTCAACAATCATTAAAAGCATTGGACAAAAGGGGGAAAGAAGGGAGTGATGAATCATTTATTACATTGGATTCCATCTATAATGATGCTCCATGAAGGATTCAGGAGGAGAAGTAGGAATGGCAATAGGGCAGGTCCGGGGCGGGTATCTCGATATCCATGCCCATCCCATGGCAGATCGGGTCCAGGTCGGGTAATTTATCACGGGACGTGGGTCGGGGCAAGTCGATCCAATGGGTATGTAATTTATGATGCAAAACATTAGAAATATTCGTTATTTTCATTAAAAGACCAAGAAAGAAACAATAGTATGATAAAATGTAGTTAAATTATTGAATAAATTGAGGTTTTCACTTATTTACAACTTTATTATAGCTAAAAGATAATGGAGTAAAAGGAAAATGCTAAGTAATTTGACTAAGATTACATGTAATTAAGTCATGAACGGGTCGAGAATGTGGCGGGTCAGGGCAGGTCGGGTCGATGAGAGGTACTCATGCCCGCCACGCCCCGCCTACGGAGCGGGTCTGATCGGCCCCAAAACAAGCCAAATAGGTCGGATAAATTGGTCAGGTCGAAATTGCCAGGAGAAAGAAAGAAAGGGAAGGGAAGTGGAGACATGGGAAGTTTAATTAAGAAAGAGAGTGAAGGGTTTCTGAGTATTTTGAGGGGAGAGATTAGATGAGAAAAACTAGGCAACAGAAATGGTCAGAGTGTAAGGTACTCACTTGACAAAATCAATGCAGTAAGAAAACCCCATTTGATTTTCGCTCTTAATCTTTGTGCTGTGTAATTAATGCATGAAACCCAGAGAAATCATTTCTTTTTCCCAATTGGGAACATGAAAAAGAGAAAATCTTGCTACCTATTTCAAAGGAACACAAAACCAGAAAACCTGTTTCAGAAACAGAGCATGAAAACCGGGCTTTGTTTTATCAGAGAGGAATTGATGAATCAGGTGAGGAAATGAGAACCTACCTGGCTTAACATACAGATGGATTCAGCCATTGGCCTCTTGGAAGCTCAGAGGAAAGCTCCAAGGAACAGAGGAAACAAATTGTTGTTTGCTGTTTACATGGTGGGGAACTCTTCTTATTTCATGTCTTCTTGTTCTTCATCTTTTCAGTAATACCAAAAGAGGACTCCAAAGCTTTTCAAACTTCCCAAGGCAGATAACCGACTTCAAACACTCAAGCGTAGTTAATTATTGTTATTATATGAATCCAGAAGGTTGAGGCCTTGAGGGAGCCACTACAATTCAAAACTACCCACTCCTTTACTAACAAACACAGAAACAACAGAATGATCCAATGTATTCATATAAAACAGGGTTTATGTTGCGACTTATCGTATATATACCGTATTACAGTAATCGATCAATAATATTTGTGCAAATTCATCAACGATGTTGGTTGAATAATATTGTGATAGTTTTTTATACGTGGCATATAAGACGAAATATTGCACTTCCTTTAGTTTTGAATTTTACCCTAGATACTAACCTAATCAATAATCATTATGATTACCTTTTCTTTCTTTCCTTTTGACAATATCATATGACTGTCTGGTATATGAACTATTCATTTCAGTTAGTTCATGTGGGGAATCATAATTAGGAATCATGAATGTCTAAGCTTTTAATGACACTTGTTTAACGATAACAAAGGCTTTTTGGGGTTGATTTAATGAATTATACCAACTCGAATGGAGTTCTATAATGCTAAAAATGGGATGGCAATTTCGACCTGACCCGTTTTACCCGACCTGTTTGACCTGTTTTGGGGCGGGTCCGACCCGCCCCGTAGGCGGGGCGGGGCGGGCATGGGTAGTCTCATCGACCCGACCTGCCCTGACCCGCCCCATTCTCGACCCGTTCTTGTCTAAATTACATGAAATCTTAGTCAAATTACTTTGAATTTTACTTTTATCGCATCATATTTTAGCTATAATAAAGTTATAAATTTGTGAAAACCTCAATTTCTCCAATAATTTAACTACAATTGTCATAATATTGTTTTATTTTCTTAGTTTTATAATAAAAATAACGAATATTTCTAATGTTTTTCAAATAAATTGCATACCCATTGGGTCGACCTGCCCCGACCCGCGACCCGTGATCAATTACCCGACCTGGACCCGCCCTGCCACGGGGCGGGTCTGGGTACCAAGAAACCCGCCCCGGACCTGCCCCATTGCCATTCCTACTAATAGGGTTCTAACATGCCAAAAACACTATAAAAGGTTTCTAGTGCCATGTTTAGCACAAAACACGAATAGATGAACGAAAAAATCCGAGCCCACCATTTTAACTGAATGAATTATTCAATTAAAATGACAACGTCTGGACTAAACTACATTCGGATAAAAAGTTGAAATCGAGAAATCTGATACTCTAGCATACAAACATCATTGGAGCAATACTCTGTTTGGTGAACCTAAAATGTCAAATCTAGCCCCATATTCCACATTTTAGCTCCAACCATGGCATGGATAGTAAATACTTCGTTTAATACACGTTATGTACTTGTACATATTTTATCCGTTTAAAACTTTCGTATCTATATTATTGTCAAGATGTTTCATTTTCCCCGTTCAGGGGCAGACCCAAGTTAGTCTAAGGGTTGTCAATTGACAACCCTTGGATCCAAATTTGGGACAAAAAAACCTTTGTAAAATTTTTATTTTAGTGGTGATAGTATTGAGATACTATACTATTTGACAACCCTTAGTGATTATGGTCTATCGTTGAATACCGTTAATAAAGTTTCTGGGTCCGCCATTGCCCCCGTTATTTGATGGTTCCCGTACTAAACAGTAAACACGTATAACACATTTAATATCCATATTTAATGAATTAAATGGTTAACTTTACTATTATTTATCTATTTCTTTATTTTTGAAATAATTAATTTTATATATCTATTACTATTAACGTACTATTAAACGTAACATTAGTTTTTTTTGACAATTAAACGTAACATTAGTTTAGAGACGAAATAAAATACCCATATGTATTTTATACATAACTTTCCCATACCGTATTTTACTAACTATCGACTTGGTTAAATTTTAATTAGAGACATTTTGGACAATTATTTAAACACAAACAGTGAACATGTTTTTGGGGGATAGGATATGATAGTAAAAGACAGTACACCAAACGTTTGACTTGTGTGTTTGCACTTTGCAGTTTGCACAAACACAGACACCACCGACTTGATGTCATTTAATACAACAGTGTCTGTCGTGCCTTGCCTTTCATCGAAAGAAGAAATCCCCTAACATAGTCTATCACTGTACAACAAGAGACCTTTTACTGTCCATCTAGACTCATGTGTACTGTTTCAACTCGGCAGCGGATCCAGTGCGCGGGGGGTGGGGGGGGGGGTGTAGTGGACGTCTGGTTGGCTGGTGACCGAACTTGGTGGTTTGGTTGTGTTAGAACCTTGGTTTCCCTTCTGGTTGCTCTTCCTTCTTTTGTCCTAAGGATGCGTTGGTCGATCTGAACCTTTAGTTGGCCCCCTTTTGTCTTTGCGTCGCTAACGTTACATCTTCATTTCCTTTCAGGTTCTTCTGCGCAGCCGGTTAGAGGTGGGTTGCATGGACGTGACACTTTTTCCACCGTAGTAGGATTTAGACTGGGCGTGCTGCCCAATTTCGTCTGCAGTCTCCTACTTGATTAATCAAACCTCACATTGGTGGGCCCTTTTTTGCCTTTGCCGAGGCAGTTTAATCATGGGGTTCCTTTTGCATGTCTCAGTTTCTTTCATTTCATTTAATTCCTCTCATCTCTTCTTTTTGCTCCTATCTCTTTCATCTTTTTCCTTCTCTTCGTTTCTAGCTTTTTCTCTCCTCTGGTTTGTGTTGTTGTTGTTGAATTGGGTTCTTCCTGTTCTGCCGAAGATGGATGCGACGCTGTTGTGTAATCTGCAGACGGCAAGTAGGGATGCCGCTCTTCGCCTGCGCCTGTTGCATATGTGGCTGGCTAAGCCTCCCAATAGCCCGGCTATTTATTATCATTGCTGCCTTTGGATTGACTAGACGGTGCGTCCAACGATTCTCTTTTTACCCCCGATTGTTTATGTTTGCTCAGGAAGTCATCGGATTTTGGATTGATTTCTTTGCTGGTCTATTCTTTTGCCCGCTGCCATTACAAATTTTGGTTCTTAATCACTTGGTATTGGTTCTATCGTCTTTGGTCCTTTTCCTGTGCCTTTTATGGTTTTCCCTTTCCTTGTTTTTTCTTTGTTGGTTTTCCCTTTTTCTTAATCACATGTCTTCGTTTTATTATTTATATATGTAGGGTATGCTCATCCAGGCGATTGCTGATACCACAATGGCAGCCGACATTAATCGATCTCTTTGTGTTGGAACTATCTATATTATAAAGGAATTCAGACTGAATACCGCAAGGAACCTCTATCGTGCATGCTCATTTGTTCTGACTATGCACATAAAAAGGACCACAACTTTCCAGGAGTGCTCTTTGCCAGCTCTCGACTTTCCCACTGACTCATTTGAGATTTTGCCATTCAGTGAGCTGCCGAGCCGCAGCGGGTTCCACCACATTCTCACGGGTTCTCCTCGACTCATTTGTCTACTTTTGTGTTCAGCATGTTCCCAATTTCTACCCTGACGTTTCCCCCTGCTTCTTTATAGATGTTATTGGCCGTTTGCACTCCATTAGTGGAATAGATCATCAGCTTACCAACAGTGGCTCTACTCCGAAACAAACATTGGTTCTTGATAATGGAAAATATGTGCCTATTTGTGTGTGTTGTTCCATGCGCCAATATTTTTGCCTTCTCTGTGCTTATTTATCAATTCTTTTTTACCAAGGGGCCACCGCGTTTCGATCACTCTATGAACAGTCTTGCTGGATCCTTGGATTGTAATGCTCTGATCCATGCAGATGCCATTGAGCCTTTTATTATTGCAGTAGGCAGCCTGATGGTTGGGCGACAGATAGGTTACATTTCTATCCTTCTCTGTCAACATTTTGCTTTGCTTTCAACATGTTGTTGACTTCTTTTTGTTAATGGATTGTGTTTCTAGGGAGTGATTATACATGTTCTAGCTCATCATGGACCCGGATTACAGTCAACCCTCGCATCCCAGAGGCATACCATCTGACAAATGTGTATGTTATCTTGGTCCTCCTTGATTATGTGGTTTCCTTTTTGTTTCATCCCATTGTGTTCTTTGTCATATACCTTGCTTGTGTGTTTGTTCACTCAAGGTTTGGCGGGTCAAGGAAACCTGTTACAGAGCTCCCGATATAGTTCGCCACACAGAGGAAGCTCTCACTGATGCTGAGAACAGGGCAAAGACACTTGCTGAGTTGCTTGATCTTCATCACCGTGGTGCTTCTGCAGTACGTGTAGCCCATATTTACCCTGTTCGTTTACATTCCTGTATGTGTCAGTATGTTAAAGCTCTTTCTCATGCTTTTACTTGGTGTCCACGCAGGATGCAAAACACTTTTGCAGTGGAACAATTAAATCTGTGGACTCTCGCACTCCATGGTATTATACATCCTGCAACATGTGTCAGAAAAGTTGCTCACCTTGTGAGGATGGCTCCTATTGGTGTCCAAAACATTGGAAGATTTCTGAGAACCAAGTCACAATTGGGTATGTTTGTTGCTTTGTTCTTCAGTTGTTTGTGTTTCTCTATTGCGTTCTCTTGAACTTTATTGGTTAATGATTATCGTCATTCCTTCGTGGCTTCCTGTTTTGTTGCTTGTGTTTGTTCTGCCCTTGACATTTTACTACCATGTTTCCTTTTCCAGTTATAAGATCCAACTCATTCTACGGGATAACACAGGCGAGGCTCCCTTCATAGTGTTTGGTTCATGCGCCAACAATTTGGTCTTTACTTCTGCTCCACTCCTAGCCTAGAGATTCCCGCACAGGTCGGGTCAACTGCCACCAGAATTGGATGCTCTTTATGGTCAACATGTTAAATTTGAGACTAAGCTGCCAATGGAGTCACAACGGGAGAGTTCAGGGTCATACGTGTTGTTCCTCAGCAAAATCATCATCATCAGATACAAGCGGCTGCGCCCCTTTTAATTCAAAACACTAAGCATGCTTCCCAACCTTCCCAAACCAACAGCTGCCAATCTGGGGCATTGGTTGGAGCTGCAGCAGTGAAGTTGTCACTTGGCCAGGGTTCGGGATCCTGCCCATCAAGGTTTGGTTGTTTTCCTCCCAATCCAATGTGTCTTTCGTACTGTGCGGTGGCTTCATGGTTTGGTGTTTGTAAATTTGTTTCTTCGTTACCAGTTCTTCGAAAGGAAAAGAGAAAGTTTCGGGGTCTTTATTGCTCGGGAATTGCAAGCCTGCTTTCCAGATTGGTCAGCTGATGCGGGAGCCACTCACGTTATGTTTTGTCTCATTGCATGTGTGTTGTGCGTTCTTATTGGTTTGTTAGATACATCTGTATTACATTGGTAAATGAATAGTTGCTTATTTCCCCAGCCAATCTCATGAATCAGTCTCAGCCAATGAAAGGATCACAAGTTCGGGAGTGGATGTTGATCCTGAGGAACATTCAACTCTGCAAACTGTTGTGTCATTGGATATTGTCTCTGCCCTCCAAGAAACTAATGAGTCGCCAACCTCTGGACCTGGGAAGCTAATCGCAACTGATGTTGTTGTTCCAAAGCAACCGATATCTGACAAGACCATTGACATGGTAAACTATCTAGTGCCACCATCCCAGCAGCGGGATAATAAGAATTTAGAACTCATGAGCTCTCCTGGACAGGTGTCTTCAAATCTCTCAGGTTCTGTTCTTATCAACTCTGAAACTCCTCAGAGTAAGATCAGTGCACCACCGTTGTCAAACCTGCCCTTTTCGTCATCAACTCCACCTTTTTCATCACCATCAACATCCATGTGAGATACTCCATGATTAAACTAAAAAAGTTTGGTTGGCGTGAATACATTGTATGGATATTTTGTTGATCGCTTTTCAATGAAACAGGTTGGTTTCTCTGTTCCCTAAGGTAAAAGTGGAAAAGCTGGATGCTTCTGAGCTGAAAAAATGATGCTGGTGCACCAGGTTCTGGTCCGTTCTCGATTGGAAACTCCGATTCAGCTGAAGAGGGGAGTTGGCGTCCTTCTGCGAAGCGCCGCCTATATTAAACCCAGGGTATGACATGCTTAACTATAGGTCATCACTACATGCACAAAATATCATTTTGGGGTAGATACATTTTTGCCACAATTTGAAAACATGCAACAAACAGTCCAGTTATGCTGACTTGGTTATTGTTTTTATTTTTTCACTGCTGATATCGTGTTATCTGTCAGGTACATGGGCGCCTAACCAACAAGTCATGGTTTGTGATAAAAGGTGTTTGTGATTGATGGAGGCTTTTGGGATGTTGTTTCTTCTCTGCTCATGCACTTGAGAAGCTTTTGGTTAGGCCAGTAGGTAGTGCTTTTAGGAAGAAGTTGTGTAAAGGGGCCTAAGTGCCAGTTGTGATATGTTTGTGAACAAATCTGTTATGCAGCATGTAGTGCTTGGTATCTATATGTGTAGCTAGACATCGTCCATGATGTATGTGATGTGAACTAGGATGCCTTGGTGAACAAGTAATGGCCATTATCTGTGTAAATGCCCATTAGCTATGTAAATATGGTTTTTGGACGCATTTCAGATATTCATTGTTTGTGATCACATTTTTAGTTTCTATTTATTCGTGTTTTCAACCTCTCGATGTTGAGGGACCTTGGTGATTAATAATAAAATGGGTAAATGCCACATTTGGTCACTAAGATTACTAAATCGTGTCATGTTTAGTCACTAGAAAAATTAAATATCAATTTTGGTCACTCGAATTACTGAGAGTGACTAAATGTGACATGTTTCAGTAATTCGAGTGACCAAAATTGATATTAATTTTTCGAGTGACTAAACATGACACGATTTAGTAATCTCGGTGACAAAATGTGGCATTTACCCATAATAAAATCATATTGTTATCATGTAAATGCACGTGCTCACTGTTTGGCCAAACTAATCATATAATTTGTAGTCCGGCCATTAAAACAAATGATTCGTGTTTGATAAATATCTTAACTGCTGTAAAAGTTATCAGTAGTTGATGTAAAAATGTATTGCTTTACACAATAACATTTTTGTGGCCATACATCAACAAACAATTAATGCGGTGTCAAATCTGCTTTTTTCCTTTTATTCCTAGCTAACAAACACCGTCTTCTTCATTAAGTTGGTTCTTTGCTTCCAATAGATGAAGAGCGGCCCAAATTCGCTCAATTATACATATTTGAACCAAACAGCGAAATCGACAACAGATTGTCTAACTTCGCATCACGCGAGTCTGTCCTTTTGCCTGAATTGCTCACGTCGTTGTTGAGGATGCTAGATCATACCAATGAGTTAGTTAAAACTTTCAGGCGCATTCGTCAATAACTACAACAGTTTTCTACAATAAATGTCCGTCTTCGGATTTTTGAAATGGCAAGCAGGAATCGACAATATGATCTCCCGACGAGTAGTGATATTGCAGCTTTGATCCCAGGTGACTTCGTTGCAGATAGGAATGACAAAGACATTATTGTAAACCATCAGGACGAGGGACTGAAACGCATCTCAAGCCTTAATCCCAAGTTTGAAGCCCTACATTTCCCTTTGTTATTCCCATATGGGGAGGATGAGTACCACCCATTGATACCGTATAACAGTACCTGCTGTCCACCATCGATGAGACGTAAATTTGGCATTAAAAGAGAGTATTATGCCTATAGGCTTCAATACCGAGTCAACGAGGGACATACATTGGTCAAGGGTGGGAAAGCGCTTCAACATTACTGTGTTGATAACTGAAGCGTTTGATAACATTGTGGGACCAAACATCGAGTTTAAACCAATGGTTGTTTGCCGAGTATTCAATATGAAGTTTTCAATTCTCATCGATCAAATCAAACGAGAATCTTATTTCGGGAAAACAATAGCAAGTAAGTTGCCACTTATTTACATGTTTAGAATTCCATACTGTAATCAAAAGGAAAACCAGTATCCCTATAATTTAATTAATATTTAGTGTCTTCTTATATACTGATAAGTTGTTATGCTTTTCGCTGCAGTTGTGTATACTGTGGAGTTCCAAAAAAGAGGCCTTCCACATATACATATGCTCATATGGCTTGCAGAAGAAGATAAAGTTAAAACAACTGATGATATCGACACAATGATTTCAGCAGAAATTCCAGATCATGAAATAGATCCAGTGGGATATGACGCAGTTGTGAAATTCATGCTTCACGGACCTTGCAGAGAATCTAGCCCAAATGCCCCTTGCATGAAAGATGGAAAGTGTTCGAAGTTTTACCCAAAGGAGTTCGATTCAGAAACTACTTTCGACAAATTTGGAAGCGTGATATATCGTCGTCGAAATACAGGAATTCAGGTGAAGAAAGGCAATTCTGTTTTGGATAACAGGCATGTGGTTCCCTATAATAGGAACTTATTGGTTAGAGCCCAAGCACATATAAATGTTGAAATATGTCACAAAGGGGGGTTAGTTAAGTATTTGTTTAAATACATAACCAAGGGATCAGACATATCCTTGGTTGTTGCAGAAGAATCAGTATCTGCAACACAGGTTCCAACAACTGATGCACATCAAAATAAAGATGAAATACAAGAGTTTATTGATTGCAGGTCATTGTCTTCTTACGAGGCTGTATGGAGAATTAATGAGTACCCGATTCATCATAGAGAACCAGCAGTGGTGCGCCTTCCAGTTCATCTACCCGGACAACACAAAGTGCCATACAAAAAACAATCCAATGGCCAAAATGTTCTAAGCAATCCAAAGGCTGGAAAAACACATTTCACTTCATGGTTCTTGCTTAATCGATTGGATTGTGAGGCACAGAAGTTCACATATGCACAAATTCCAAATGCATATACATGGAATGGACTCCGAGAAAGAGAGGATTTGCTATTGGAAGAATATCTTATGTACCCCCGGGCAACAATGATGTCTTCTTCCTAAGACTGATACTTACGAAGGTACGTGGTGCTATGAGTTACTTGGATTTAAGAACAGTCCATGGAGAAATCTGTCCAAGTTATGAAAAGGCTTGTGAGAAATTGGGTCTTCTGTCTGATTCTTCAGAATGGATTAGGGTACTACAAGAGATATCAGCCTCTAGCATGCCAAGTTTAATAAGGAGTACTTTTGTATCAATGTTAATGTTTGTGAAATACCAAACCCGCTTGCCTTATTTGAATCATCTTGGGAATTAACGAGCGAAGATCATGTGTATTCTCTGCGTAAACAGGTTCATTCAACAACATTTGAACCTTCCGAGGAAAGAAGTCGTAATTGAGTCCTAAACAAGCTTCAGACCTTGCTTGGTTCCTATTCTGCATATCTCAATCAGTTTAACCTCCCAAACCCAACAGACTTACCACCAGATGATGGGTCCAACCCCCTGATTAATGAACATCTACATTTCAATGCAGATCAGCAAGGGAACATGTCTGACAGCATGATTCAATCACTCAATTTTGAGCAGCTCGAAGCTCTCTCAGCAATTACACTATCAGTTAACAATAATATGGGAAAGTCATTCTTCTTATATGGACATGGAGGCACATGTAAGACATTTTTATATAACGCAATTATTGCAAAGTTAAGGAGTCAAACAAAGATTGCAATAGTTGTGGCATCATTGGGAATTGCAGCAACTCTTCTACCGAATGGTACAACAGCACATTCGAGATTCAAGATACCTCTACATGTTGATGGTACATCGACTTGCTCAGTTAAGAAAGGAACACACTTGGCTGAGCTAATACAGCAAGCATCGTTAATTGTTTGGGATGAAGCACCAATGCCACATCGACATGCATTTGAGGCAATTAGCAGGACGTTCTGTGATTTAATGGGTGTTCCGATGGGAGGACCAGGTCATAAGTTATTCGGCGGTAAAATAGTTCTCTTTAGTGGAGACTTTAGACAAATACTCCCTGTGATTACAGATTCTTGGCGCGAACAGACAGTTGATGGATCCCTCACAAGGTCACCTATGTGGAGCTCTTTTACCATGCTTAAATTGCCAAGGAACATGAGGTTAAATGAATCAGCTGTAAATAGAGCAATTGTGAGCAATGGTCACACATTTGGACAGTGGGTTCTTGCTCTTGGAAATGGGAATCTACCAACAAGATCGTTCAAACCAAACACTCCTTCAGACTGGATTCAAATACCTCCCATGCTTTTGATAGCACCTATACAGGAACCAGTTAAGTCTATTTCAGTTGATATATATGACTCATTTGGAACACATTACTAAAACACAAAGTATCTCGCAAACAGGGCAGTAGTGACGCCCACAAATGCAAAAGTCAATGAGATCAATGAGTTTATGCTTGATCAGCTGCCAGGTATCAGTCGCTCATATTTCAGTTCAGATTCTATGCAAGTTGATGGAGATGTTCCAAAATCATTCACTAAGACCTACCCAACAGAATTTCTCAATACACTTGCATTCAACGGCGTCCCTGATCATGAAATCAGTCTTAAAATTCACGCTCCAGTTATGCTACTAAGGAATTTGAGCCCTCTAAATGGTCTGTGCAATGGAACAAGAATCATGATCACATTCTTAGGAGAAGACATCATCAAAGGAACAATTATGGGTGGAACATATGACACAAAATTGGTTGTCATACCAAGAATAGTTCTCAATATCGATGATAAGAAATGGCCATTCATCCTCAAGAGAAGGCAGTTTCCTGTTCGCCTTTGTTACGGAATGACCATAAACAAAAATCAGGGCCAAACACTTGAAAAGGTTGGGGTATACCTGCCAGACCCTGTATTTAGTCATGGCCAATTATATGTCGCGGTTTCAAGAGTTAAATCAGCAGATGGATTGCGTATCCTGATCACCAATACTGATGATGTCCCAAATGACTACACAAGGAATATTGTGTACACAGAAGCACTTGAAGATGTCAGCATAGATAAGGAGCAGCCTAACAATAATCTATAGGTACAGGTTATGATTTAAACAAAAGAATTCATCTTCATGCTATTTTGAATTTACCAAACAGATGCCATCAGTTACTACTACTATTTTTCACATTTGTTGATTTCTAATATATCAAAGTATTTTGCATTGAAACAGGCCTCTGCCATGCTCACGAGGTGAGTCGCATTTCTTCGATCAACAACCACAATTTATCAAATGGAAACGTGCCCCTTTTCATTTTCTGGGTTTTGTTCTTGCTGTTCTTTTCACATTCTTCTTCAGAATTAGGAAGGTGCAAGTTTTGATCCACCAAAATAGAGAAATGGTTTGATAAAGGTGTTTGTTCATAAAACGGCATGCTCTTGGTCGTTTATTTTAATGAATGACAAAAGTTCAGGGCCAAGATCAGGTGACTAAGGGAGGGTCCCTTAGTCACCTTAGTCATGTAATAACTAAGTGAATCTCCACCCTTCAATCTCATTTAAATCTAATGGCTCATATTAATATCATTTAACGAAGGACAAGATGGCAATTATAGATTATTTATTTCACAATTAAAATAAAAAAAGTGGGCTGAACACGCTCCTGCTGTCCCTTCCACTCTACCGTCGGCGCCCTGTTTCTGGAAACTCCCAATGGCCGCTTGGGAATTCTTCCGGTGGTTTTTTCCCCCTCCCGGCGGTCCCTTTCCGGGAACAACTGCCCTCCGCCGTGGGGATTTGGGGATTATTGCCCCAAGTGAGAGTTCTCTCCGTGGAGAATTTTGGTACACACAGAGAGAGAGAGAGAGAGAGAGAGAGAGAGAGAGAGAGAGAGAGAGAGAGAGAGAGTTTTTCCGCCGGCTAAGAATTTTCGTCGACGTCGCATAGTACATTTTGATGATTAGGGATTCTCCTAGCAACTGTGTTTCGGTTTGTTATGTTTATCGGACTATTTTGTAATTTTGTATTAATTCAGTTTGTATCATTTATTATTCTAGTTTGTTATTTTTATCTGTTATGTTTGTAATGTTTATATGACTAATTTGTATATATTGTAATTTGTAATGTTTGTTTGTCTATTTTGTATACTTTGTATTTACTAATTTGTAATACAAGTTTATCGATTTGTATTATAAGTAGTAGTATTTTGTACAGTGAGTATGGTTTGTACTGTTTGTCGGTTTCTTTTATAATGTTTGTAAGCTTTGTTATTTTTGTAATGTTTGTTGGTTTCTTTTGTAATGTTTGTAAGCTTTGTTATTTTTGTCCACCATGTTTGTCATTTTTGTCAACCATATTTGTTATGTTTGTATACTTCTAATTTGTATGCTTTGTAAAATCGGTTTGTATTGTAAGTAGTTGTAATTTGTACAGTTAGTATGTTTTGCATACAATGTTAATATTATTTGTATACTTTTATGATGTGGTTTGTATACTTTTATGATGAGGTCTATATCCTTTGTAATATTTAGTAGTGATATTTTATGTTTTTAGTAATCTTTGTACATAATGTTAACTTGATTTGTATACTTATATCAAGTGGTTCTAATACATTTTAATATTGCTTTTACATAATTTTATGATATAGTTTGTATATTTTATATTATTGATTTGTAAAAAAACTCATATCGATTTGTATTGTAAGTAGTTTTATTTTGTATACATGGTACTATTAGTTTGTACATATTTATTATATGATTTGTACACTTTTTGTATTCTGATTTGTAATTCACATATTATTGATTTTTGCATTTTCATTATAATGTTTGTACATTATATATTTTTACTTTGTATATTTTGCTGGTATGGATTGTAAATTTTTATGTTATTTTGTGATTTTATTTTAAAAATAGAGAAAGGCTGGTAAAAAAAGAAAATACATGTGAGTGGGAGTGCTTAATAAAGAAAGAGCTAGGTGGTGGTTATATATAAAAAAGGAGACGTAGGGGGCTGTGGACACGGAACAGTGAGTGGGGAAAGTGAATGAAACAAAAAATAATAAATTTTTTTATAATACCATAACTACCCTTTTAATTAATTAAATATCCCTTCTCACATTTTCACCATTATATTAATATATATAGATCCAAGGGCTAGGAGGGGCGGACCCCCTTAGTCACGGTTTAATTCTGCCTGCCGCTGGAAGGGGCCCAAGCAAACGCCGGCCCAATTAACTGCTCTACCCATTAGATTAGCCCTTTTCCAAAACAAAGGAAGCCGCAAATGCATCCAGCCAAAGGGGACTCGTTAACGAAACCAGAACCAAAAAAAAAATGTGGAGAGCAAGCGACTCTCCGGTTTCCTTTCTTGACGGTTATTCCGATGAAGTCGTCGTTTTTTCCTCGGCGCTTGATGCATGGGTACCACGATCTCACCCATCGTGGCTACTTAGACAACCGAGGGTATCCCCCCTCGCATATGGTTTATATTAAGCTCAGTTCTTTCGAGTGTTGCCAGTTACAGTTTCCTGTGAAGATTGCTGTGTTCTCCGTAACCAGTACTCTTATGTTTCGCTTACTTCTCATCTGTTTCTGGAATTCTCTGTGTGTGCTTCTCATTGGGTTTTTTAATTGGTTCTCAGTACGTCCGATTCTGCGTCTCGTTGCAAGTATGGATCCCATGGATATTGATCAGGTGGTGGCTTTCGAGGATGACGATGTCGACATCGGTCCAGAGCAGGCAGAAATCTCCTTGGTTGGGCGTTTGTTTTCCCCTCAACCGATGGCTCGGTCAGTGCTGGAGAATGTTGCTAATGGGATGTGGGGATCGGCGAATAACCACATCATTGTGCATGAGGCGGACATAGGTTTATGGTGATTTATCGTCACTGATGCTACTACTCGATCTCGGATCCTCCGACGTTCTCCATGGACGGTGAAGGATCTAGTGCTTCATTTACTCCCATGACAACCAATTTCGGAAGGACTCTTTGGTGAGCTGGCTCGTGTTCCTTTTGTGGTTTATTTCATGGATATCCTTCCTCAGTTCTGTACTTTGAGCCTTGGGCGTCGTCTTGCTAATCACTTGGATGGGGGACTTGAGAACCGCTAATTGGGTATGTATGCTGATCATCCTGGTCAGTCAGATCCCTTCATTAAGGCGCGTGTTTTCATTAATGCTGAGGCTCCGCTCCGATCCAGGCTGTTTGCGCAAAATGACAACTGGGGAGGGTTCAGCACCCGACTGGACTATGAGTACTTGCCGTTGTTTTGTTTCAATTGTGGTAGACTTGGTCATGGAAATGCTACCTGTTTGTTGCCTCCACCTCCACCGGGATCAGAGATTTACAGCAGTTCAATGTCGGTCCGTCCGCATGGAATTATGCTTGATGAATTTTCTTTTCTGTCGGTCGATCATCTCGCAGTACCACGACGAGGGCGTAGTCATGGTCGCTTCACTTGGGTTCATCCTCGGAACCGTGAGGGGTATGGTTCTCACAATCGCCCTGTTCAGGAAGAGCAACCAGTGGATGTCGATCCATGGCAGCATCAGGTAGTCTTGGCGTTAACGGTTGGGGAGCCAGCTGGTATGAGTTCGGTTCATTAACCAAATGCTTCGGGTGGGCCTCGTATGTCTGGAAGGGGTCGGGTTCCTATGCAACGCCAGGCTCGTGTGGTGCTACCACCCATTTGTATCTCAGAGGTATCTTCAGCTCCCACTCGTTCATTGATTTCTAATGCATCTGTCATTGATAAAGGGAAAGGCAAGACTAAGGTTACAGAGGTGGAGTCGGATGAAGAGGATTTTCCGATGGGCGAGTCCTCTGCTCCACCGCCTCGGCCTGGATTCCGTATGTTCTTGACTGATGCGGAGATGGAGGTTGACTGTTCCAAGCGGACTGCTTCTGAAAGGGAGGCAGAGGATCAAGGTGCTAGCAATGAGGTGGATGCTCTAGATCTTGAACCAGCAGAAAAGAGACATCATGGGGAGGAAGATTCAGGTGACATTCTGGAAACTGTGGTGGTAGCCAGCAACCCAACCCCCGCATTGACGATCTTGGCGTGGAACTGTCGAGGCTTAGGCCCGGACTTGACATCTCAATCTTTAGAAGGGCTGGTTCGTGATCATTGTCCATCTATTTTATTTTTATGTGAAACCAGGAAACGTAGTGATTATGTTAATGGTGTTGTTCGTTCTCTTGGCTTTGTGGATTGTAGTATAGAGAACCCAATTGGTGTGTCTGGGGGTCTCGTAGTTGCTTGGACTTCTGAGGTGTCTGTTTCGTATTTGTGTTCTGAATCTTTCTTTAATTCTATGCAGCTTTGTGTGGATGGGTTGTTTTATGTTCTATATGAGTTGTGATGAAGCTGTCCGTAGGCAGCAATTTCTTTATTTGTCTCGTTATTGTTCGTTACTTGCTGTACCCTTCATGGTTGTTGGGGATTATAATGAGATTCTTAGTCCAAATGAAAAGCTTGGAGGTCGTGACTTTGACCTGAACAAATCATTACCATTTAGGAAATTTGTTGATGACCTTGGGTTAATGGATCTTGGATTTATTGGAGCTAGGTTCACTTGGTGAAATCGTCATTCGGATCAGACAGTAATTTACAGCAGATTGGACAGGTTTCTTTTTTCTGCGACTTGGGTTGATAAATGGCCGAACGGTAGATTTGAACACCTTTCAGATCAGGGAAGTGATCATAGGGCCATTTTTTATCGTTTCACTTCGGAGCGATTACCTCATAAATCTGTCTTCATGTTTGACGCTAGGTGGGGAACTAATGCAGAGGCAGAGACTATTATTTCTGATGTGTGGTCTAGAGCAGCTTCTGGGTCTCCTTGTTACCAATTGTGGTCTTGGATGAAATTAGTTAGACATCGTTTGTTTCATTGGGAAAAAAAAGGAACAACTAATTCAGCTCGCCAAATTAGGGACTTGAAGCATCAATGTTCAACAGTTCGTAATTCTTATCCTGTTAACTGGAATGAGCTTTCTCGTGTGGAAGCCGAACTTGCCGCTGCTTGGAGATTAGAAGAACTATATTGGAAACAACGTTCGCGGGTAACTTGGCTACAGAAAGGAGATAGTAATTCCCG